AACGCTTAATTAAAATGGAGTTGGCTTCCCAGCCATCTTCCCTGCGTGTCATTTTGCTTGGCTCTGTTTCATTCGCTTCATATACAAAATATATGTATTCACAAATCAATTCTCGTTATTCGACTTATTTAATTCCGTTATTGGATAACGCGATCTAAGTCGACGATGATATACGAGAATCAGCGATAACAAACATTCGTACATTCTAAATTGGAGTCAGATCATTGGGCTACAACAGAGGTCAACTTTACAGACAGAAAGAGGGTATAGCAATGGGCTCACCAGTTTCTCCGATTGTAGCGAATTTATTCATGCATTCCCTAGAAACTAGTGCAATCGCAAAGAGTTTATGTCCACCAAAGTTATGATTAAGGTATGTAGACGATATTTTTATTATCAATAAACGGGATGGTATGGAAGAACTATTTAACAATGCAAACAGCATTTCTGAAAACAATAAACTAACTAAGGAATTAGAATCAGTTGACCACAAACTAGTATTTCTAGATTGTTTAGTTGAACGTCGACACAATAATAAGAAGTTAAAAATAAATGTTTACAGAAAATCAACACATTCCGAGAGATACTTGGATTTTAATTCAGCCCATTCACAGAGCACGAAAATTAATGTAGTGAAAAATCTAATGAACAGAAGTACTAAGATTGTTACAGACAAGGAAGATCAACGAACCGCATTAAATAAAGTATTTTCTACTCTTAGGGATAACAACTACCCAAAAAGGTTTTTAAAGAAGATTATTAAAAATGAAAGAAAAACTAAACTAGAAAGTATACGAAAAGAATGGAAGTACACCGTAGTCATACCTTACCGGAGTGAAACATCAGAAGAAATCAAATGGATTCTAAACAAACATGATATAAGAGTGTATTTTAGAGCGAATAACACATTAAGATCGACATTAATGAAAGTTAAGGACAAATTAGCAAAGGAAGAGCAACAGAACATTGTGTATGAGATTCGCTGTCATGACTGTAATGCTACCTATGTTGGAGAAACATCCAGGCAACTGAATGTAAGATTGAAGGAACACAAACAATGCTTGAAAAATGTTCCAAAATCCTCGGTCGATTTAAAGAAACTTGAAAATAAGTCAGCGATAGCGTTACATGCGTTAGAAACAGGGCACAAGATTAATTTCGAAGGGGCCAAAATACTTCAGAAAGGTTTTAACACCCATAAAGAAAGATTGACAGCAGAAGCGCTGCATATATGGGCGAACAAGAACAGCCTGAACCGATAAGATGGTATTCAACTGGCAACTACATGGCAAATTTTGTTTGACAAATAAATTTGGAACCTATCTCTTGTTTAAACCTGTTTTTTAATATCACATGCATCGTTATTATTTTTGAAAGAATTCAATGAGTTTTTAAACAATACAATTTATGTTTTGGCATGTACATCGATGTTTCATTATCAAAAAATTTTCAACCTTGAACTTTACTTATTTGTACCTTCATATCAATCTCTTACACGTACATACATACCTGCACACTCACACACATACGATTTGTTGCTCAGTTAATTATTTCTATGTAGTTGAATTCTTCACATGATTTGTAGTTAACTGACTCATTTTATCCTGTTTTACAAAAAATCAACATCCAAATATGATTGGTTTCACACGGTATAATTCTGATTGTTAAAAGCTATACATGTCTTTGATAATTTTGATTTTGATTATTACCCTGAAGAAGTCCAGACAAGCTAGCTGGACGAAACGTTGGAATTAGTTATATTTCAATCGCTGAGAATATTTCAAATATAATTTTCACATATAATGACTTCTCTATACTCGGCGCTCAATTACTGTCAAACTATTCGTTCTAATCTTGACGAATATTCGTATATAATTCTTATGGTTTCGTACGCATAGAATACTTGTCATTGAGAAAAATTAACATAAACATTTGGAAGCAATTAATGACCTGATGATACTGTCCGGTTATTGTGACCAAGATTCATGATTCACCGACAACCTAGACACCATGTAAACGATTGCATCACATCCTGTTGTTTATCAATTAACATGTGTGTGACTACACACACGTAAGAACAAGTAATTGTGACTTGTAAATCAAGGTATCTGAACGTATACCTAAATTATTACGAAAACAAATGACCCAACAAGAGTAGACGATAAACATCTATCTCGCTCCATTACTAAACACTGTTGAAACAAGTCATAAAGTCAATTTTAAGCCAGTCTTTGTGGTTCAACACAGTAGTTATCTAGGGCGTATACTGAGGTTTATTGAAGTATCAGTCATATGAAAACCCGAACTCCCTTTGTGTATTTGAAGAGTTTGATTTCGCCCTAAAATTACCTTGGTAAAACATTTTTACTATCCGGAGTGTTGAGTTTTTCACATTTCTTTTGTTTCCTCTTACTTTCCATCTTCTTAGTTAACCTTTTTTTCATACATAAATGTTCTTAAAAAGTGTATGTGCGATTCGACTGTTCGAAAAATATTGTGCCAATAGATTACATATCTCTGACAATCCCCATCTTATTACACTATCCAAATTTATCAAGGTGACAAATTGTTCTGAAGATTTGTAATTTAAACCATCCAACTTAACTACAGCAGGGAATTTTACATAAGAACTTCATAAGGATCTGTACATGTTATATTTTTTAACGAACCTCGCAGACATTCAGAGGATTGAATGATAATACGGTGAATTCAGAAACTGATGACGACATGTACTTTATGATTGACTGATAGATCCAACACTACATGCTACTGGCAATAAGACATAATAATAAATTACAACAAGACTATCAACACCCCAACTATTTTAACAGAGGTATGGAGAAATAGAAAGCTAATGTTACGAATTATGTATTTTTAAGAATTATTTAGGATGTAAAAGTCACAAGTTAAAAAATACTAATAAAGTTTTCTAACACCCTGAGAGAAGTAACTAAAAATTTCACTCCAATGCCGAGAACAAAACCCTAGTAGCTGTTGAATGACTAACATAAGTATAGTAATTTGTGCATAAATTTGTATGTGATATCACTTTAAGTTTGTATCAATTATTGTTATTATATGAAACGTAATCAAATAGATTATTTTATGTTTAATCTGTAAATGTTTGTAAATCACCTTGTTCTTGATATTATTGACTAAATCCTGACCAATCGTAATATTAGGTTCGAATCGTGGAGTGAACGTCAACCTCTGGCATAAAGGTACATACAGCTGACAAGTCTTAAAGTGAACGAAACGTGTATCCCGAATCCCACTACTAGCCACAATTCCTATCTTCTATGAGATTAGTTTTTAGTCAAAGCACTCTTGCTTAAGGTATAATTTCCAATTGACAAATTTCGCTATGACCTTAGTTGTGAAGTTTACAATTAATAACTTGAAACATATAAATTTAAATTTAGCTACTAATTATGTTTATATGTGAATCGGCAGAACAGATTAATAGGAGAATGAAGCATTCGCGTATGAATAGATATATGAATTGTTAAGGACAAATTTATGACTCCATTTTTTTTGTATAAATGTAATTTCTAAAATGAAGTAATATACTAGGTCTAGTTTCGTTAATGTTATAACTTGTGGCCTTGTGTCATATTAATACATTATGTAATGACACTGCCAATTAGAGAACAGTTATTTATCGACAGGACCAATGACGCGTAAACCCGTACGAGCAGTCTACAGTTCTTATCGGTCCTTCTTGCTGCTTAGCCCTGCCTGCTGAGTCCAGAACACTAATCTCAGCCTCTGCGATATGAATCATGTATATCAAACAAGGCACACTGACCACAACTGGCGATCACTTTAATCAACACATATATGAAAGAACAATTCTGCTTGATTTTACATAAATTATAAAGGGAAATATTTAAGCTATTCAACTATAAATATCTAATCCACTTACGTATAGGAAATTCATCCGAATCTTAACAAGATTTGTTCGTTTTTAACTCCTTGCAAATGTAAAAGCTTTAGTTGTTCATCAAATAAAACTTGGACTTTGTATTTATCTTAATTTTAAATTGATTGATATTACATTTTAGACTAATGGATATAATAATATAAAGATCACCTTTTGTGAATTGCTTTCATATCTAGTTTGATTATCTTCAGTATTATACTACTTCATTTTTGAGGGGTGGGGCACTTTTAATTTTTACAATACTAAGGAGAAACAGCCGTCCAGTGCTTCCAGGTCTTCCATAGTGGTCTAGCTTTAATTGGCTCATGAATTCAACTACTAAATTACTGAAATCTCCACAAAACCCCCTTCTGACAAGAAAAGTCTCCAACTATTGGTTACGATAGTCACACGGACCCCAACCAAGTAGTCTGCATCTACCAACATGGCACAGACTAGAAGTTAGTGACTTCAAGCATTGATGTCACGTTTTGGTTTGGCCGCCCCTAACTTTCTTCCAACCATCCCCAACACCGGTTAGCATTGCACGTCGTCGTCATCGGTGTTCGGGCATACGTAACACGTGGCCTAACCATCTCAGTCGATGAAGATTCACAACCTCATCGACTGATTTACCATCATCCCCTAATACCCTGCGTCTAGCTTCACTATTACTTACCCGGTGATCACAGCAGACGCCAGCAATATTTCTGAGGCATCTGTGGTCAAGTGCTAGTAGCTTACGAGTATCTTCTACTCTTAGTGGCCATGTTTCGCAGCCGTAAAGTAGAACAGAACGGACAAGATTCTAGGTTCATCATGGACACAGTAAAACTAATTTGATTTAGCTAACATGAACCTATATATAGGTATAAATGAGTTATATCTATTAACTCATAACTATTTATAGTTCTCTACAAAATAAAACAATTTGATATTCAGTAAGCTTTTGAAATGATAGACAAAGAAAGCAACATATATAGTTGTAACTGTAAAATGAAGTGATACATAATAGGGAAAATAAGAGAATCTTCTAAGTAATTGAATCGAATAGAAAAAACTCAGGTCATTGAGAGGTCTACATATAGAAGTTATCGAATCCAGGAGGCATGGCATGATCAGGATCTGGAATATGGCGACGACCACCTGAAGGATGTGGTCTAACAGGTCCTATACCGGGTCCAAAAGGATCGAATCGAGCCCCCGGAGGGACTGCCCCAGGGGGAAGAACATCGGGACCACCGAGAAAAGAGTCACTATCAACTCGACTACCAGGTATGATGCGCCTTGGATCTAAAATCATTCCACCACCTCTTGATGGCCCTCCAATACTTGCTAGAGGATCAAGGTCACTTCGTCCATAATCTGGCGGTAGTGTCCCAGCTGACGGCTCTGTTCTGGTGAAATTGCCCCGAAAGGGTATTTGTGGCTACAAAGAGAGGATGTGAGAGACAATTACATTTTACACATTCGTTTAATAAAGACAAGTCACTACAGATTGAATTTTTCCTTAGGATACATTCATAACAGTAACTGACCAACTATTGCCCTAAATAAAAAAACCCATCTAGTTGATGTCAATGCCACATAGTGCTCCATTTTACAAGTTATTCTCGGAGAAATATTTCATAATGATGGATGAAAAACCGAAAACCTGTTATCGATAACAATCAATATTATCAAGCCACTAGCCTGGTTTCAATAAATGTAACCGATATGTTAAAAGACAGTCTTAGGAAGATAGGTATGGTGCTACAGGCAGTTAAGTGACTAACTAACTTGTCCCATTACTTTAGAATTAAGCCGGTCAAGCACCAACCTACAAAATAAAAAGTGGAAAATGCGTGTATTATATAGGAATATGAGTCTGGTACTAGCTTCGCTTCTCTTTATGAGTCACTAAATTGATGTTCAACACGTAAAGGACGTACTGCTATTGGAGGAGAATGCTGGATGCTCTGAATTAAAATGTTAAAGTGCCCTGTTAAGCACCCCTACAGAACAGTATGGTATTTGAACACTAGTCTGTATTCGAGCGAGTTCCGAATATACAGACTGGCTTATCTATTAATCGACTTATATTTTTACGTTTGGTTGTATTATTAGTAGGACAGAAATAATAATAATGCGCTGAACGCACAAGATCGTTGACATTTAATCCATGCTGAACATAAATAATTGGTCGTATTTAATACAACAACGAAATATGGAGTACTCGGTAAGATAAGTAGGTCAATAAGTAAGGCGGTCAATCTTCAGTCGACCACATATTTAAGTTGGGTCCGAATGAATCGTTTATATCTTACGTACGGTCAAATAAAAAAGGAGTTATGAACTTTTTAAGTGTTTCCGCTTAGTGTAGAAAAAAAGGTTGAACAGTTAGTATGAAAAGCCTATGGTAATGAGAAATATGAATGGTATGATTTATGATTATACATAGCCGTTTATAGCTTGATATATTAACCATCTGTTATTTATACAAGATAACTTCTTGCAGTTAGCAGATTTTTTCAATTGTATCTCTTTACATTTCTTGTTCAGCAGTTCAATAATTGCAGCATGAACTTTAAACAGCATTTTCGCTTTAAGAAACAATTAACTAGACTGCTTACAGATGGGAATGGAAGATTACATTTTAATTTATATATATTCAGCATATTCCAAAAACTTTATGTAGCTGCATCATGAGTTTGTCGCACACGATATTGCTAATAGTAAGTTTCTGAAAAATCTCAGAGCGAAGGTTATCGTAATAATATTCAGAAAACACATTATCAACCATAAATGCCAAATAGGTCCAAGCAAAATATGAAACCTAGTTACGAATATGCACTATTGTATTCCAAACTATTCAACGATATGATAAATGTTGGGATATTGTTCTAGAATAATAGTATGGAAGAATGAGCAGTGAGCATTTGTTTAAAAATCTTAACGCGTTTACCAGACACAGATTAGTATTTGGTTCCGAGCTACACTCGAAGTGTGGGGGTTATTGGTGCTACTGATAACCCAAACCGAAGTAGATGGAGCGGAACCTGAGCCTGTGACTTGGTGGCTGAATGTTAAACACCTTAACCACTGGACCAGTTTCATCAAAGTAATAGCCCCTCAATGCCCTGGCACGGCCGAGGGTGGAGAGTCAACTTTCCCTCTCGAAATGCCCTCAGATGGCCACGCGTATACAGCCACTACCAGGGAAGTCCTATTCATTGCCTTATCGTGGTGCAGGTATTGTTTACGAAGTTGAGAGGACGATAAGTGAATGCCTGGCGCTCTAACCGGGTTGATGGATACGGGGTATCTACCAAGGGGAGTTAGAAAACCCTCATTCCAAACCAATGGTGCACATGGGCTTTATGATCCTGAAGGAACAAATGGAGTATGAACCAATCGTTGGTCACCGGCTACCATGGGTCTGCGTCAACTTACGTTGCTCCACTGTCTTGTGGATCAGATCTTTAGGTCGGAGGCTCGGGGTGTGGCCCCTAAGAAAACCACCTGCTTCGGTCTGGGCACCCGGGTAGTATAACAGACTACACTCAAATCAAGTGACTTGTGTGGCGTCAGACACAAATGTGTTAGCCTATGGTGACATACTAAAATCATCAGAGCAAAATGTACATTGCAGGGTGGTCAAGGTTTGTTTGTTCTTAAGAAATATGAGGACTGTAAATACGCGTTTAGGGTATCAAACTCTATGAAAGCACAAACAGTATTCACATATCCACCTTGGTAGAAATCAGCCTATCTGAGAACTATGCTTGTGATACTGTCGAAAATAATGTACAGTAATATGTAACCATCAGTTCGTTTAATTCATAAAGAAAGCTTGGAAAGGAATATTTAAGCATTGTTAACTCAGGTAACTGAACAATACTATCAAGAAGTGTATAATTTAAGCTATGACGTTAGTTGAATTAAAAAGACTGTAATCATATTATGGATATTGTAAGCACAAAAATGTAGTTAACTGATCACTAATTATATGTTTTTTGTTTACAATCCATGTCGTTCAATTACCTGTGCCTGTAGGGGACAACGTGTTTATATAAGAACCTTCGTTTAAATTTGGACAACATTGGATTTACTTAAAATTCGATTGCTGAAATTTTTACAAATATAATCCTCCTGCTTGATGTTCAACAAACTTGTTAGTTTAAAATCGTAACTAATCTTTCCATAGATCATAAAAAAGTCTATACAGAATTATGTTGCTTTTTAATAGTATTGGGATAAATGTCACAGTATGAATTCCTAGACAAAAAAAAACAGTACAATGAACTAACTGAAATTATAACGACCGAGATTGAAGGGTGAGAAATAGCATTTGTCAGACTTTTGGAATCGCTATGTTGTAGGTCAACATTAGCTGAAGATTGGAAAATAAAGAGCACCGAAGATGTGTTTTGCTCTGGCTCGACTCTTTGAAACTTCGGACCGAAAAATCAAGATAGAACCTAGAACCTTTAAGTCTTGCAGAAAATAGAATACTATTAGGTTAGTAGGTTTAAATTATGTGGTTAGAAATCCCAAGTTTGGTTAATTCACAGTCTAACATAACTATTACTAGCTGAAATCAGTGGGTGGTTATTCTATTCTGTTAAAAATCTGTTAACTCCACATACTATATATTACGCCCATTTTATTCCAAGGACTTCAGAGCATGTTTGTCTTATTCTAGGAAGTCAAAGAATATATGTGCAATATCACTACCAGATAAATAGATTAAGTTCTTAATGCAAACATACTTGGTTATGGAAATCATCATTGCTTGGTCGAAGTTCATTCTTATCAGTTTCAGATGGACGGCAGGAAAGAGGTGGTGGGAGGACAGGTTTCCATAGATTTTCCTCAAAGGAGTCCAGCAGTTCGTCTAATTGGGGAAATACGATATTAGCATCTCCGTAAGTCGAATTATCGACGCTATCAAGACAAACATGTTCGATTCCAGAAACTTCCAAATGTCCAAATTTATCAGTAGTTGTGTCTGTTACATTAACAAAAATGTGAGCGTCTGTTTCAGCTACTGAGACTTGCAGCTTTTAAAGATTAAATAATATACGAGACAAGAGTTAAAATTTATGATATATATATAGTTATAAGTCAAATAAATTAAAGTTTGAACAGCCTTATATAAAACAGAATGTTAGCACAAACAAACCCCAACGTGCATTTCAATTAGCACTACTCCCATATGTACTAAGGTACTCGTTTACTTATTAAAGAGAACACGTAAAACCAACAACACTGAGTTTGCACATAAACCACGGTGTGGCAATTTGATAAAACTTAGAAGCGAGTGTTTTTGGTACGGTACTACCTCGAGCTGCTTAAACACCAGCATACTAATAGTGAATTGAAAAAAATAGAAATAGTTACATTAAAGACTTTAATCCGTTTCAAAAAGTGAATCGAAACAAAATGACATATTCACTGGGACTCATGTGACCAACCATCTTACTGATGTATGGTACCTTGGGTAGGGCACATTTTTGTCCGGTTTTTACGCTATGACTAATACTATTTTTGCAATGATTTTGTCAAAATTAAAAAACTTCGAAGAGATGACCAGTAAAACACCTAAAAGCATACATTTATAGATCTGAAGGGCTTTAAGATTCTCCGAGTGGAAAAAACTGGATGTTATTACTTGATAGAGAGATGTCTGTGGGAATGGTAGTTGTCAATGTAATGGACAAGAATGTCATAGCATAACACATTCACTTGACCGGGTTTGAAAGACATTTTCGACCTTCCTTGATAATATAGAAACTTTTAAATGAGACACAATCAATGTTGCTTAATAAGTGAGTTTCAATGGGTTCTTGTATACTATTTAATTTTCTTGAAGCTGTAATCAAAACCCACCAATTAGATAGGAATTATGACAATATATGATATTTATCAGCAGTATTTTGAGACTATTATGGGATTTCACGTCATTTAGTTTGACGAAATTGCCGTACGACCTGCTCGCAAAGTAATATCTGGGATCGCCATTTTCAGGCTTACGTTCTCAAACTAGATTACTCTTTTCCAGCTAAAGTCGGTTACTGTCTTAAATGAATGAGTACGTCACCAAAACACCTCGAAATTTAGCAAGTTAGTTGCATGTAATTAGTTTAAAGACTTAGTATATGAACCTGTACAACATAACAAAACTGTAGGCTCGAGAAAACCAAGTACGAATAATGTCGATAGGTCTGTTCATCTCTATGAGTGCTGAAAAGAAGCGGGCTGATCCGTCTAATAAAGGTGAAAATTTTTAATTAGATCCATAGATCGATTTCATCACTGTACTTTTACTGAATATTGTTTCTACAAATAGTTGTATACATCTTTTGTTGCAGGTTGACAGTATATTTTGACCTGAAGGCTTCAGTTTTTATTAAAAATTTCTGAAATTTGTAAGGGAAATACTTGCGCATAGTGTTTTGATTATAATCCATCTGAGTAGATCGACAGTCCAGAAGAAATTGTGGTTCGCAGAAACTGTTCCTAGGCAGAACAACTTGTTTATGTGTCATATGTTGCAACCAAGCCCTTAAAGAACATTCTTAACGGGTAATTTAGCGAGGTAACCTAATAAGGAAACGAGTGCCATGGGGAGCTATATTTGCTGGAAGATATTTGGTTTAAGCATTTAGTTGTGTACAAGTAGTCTGCGTAAGTATATGAGCGAAACAACACAAGTATGCTTCTAACGCATTAAACGGTGCACTGGGTGCAAAAGATACATTCAGTCAACGACAGAACCCTCTGTCCAATACTTTAGAAGGTGAATACTTAAGACAAAATAAGTATACGTACTTGGATGCACGGTGTAGATAACGTGTCGGACTTTGTTCTAGATATCAACGCGTATGACATTCGAATAGGATCTTCAGCAAGACAGGACGAACTAAGTACTGCAGTTCGCGCGGTAGCTTCTGTGGGTCTTGCTCCACGCGATAAAAGTTCTGAGTGAACCAAAAGAGCTATAAACGAAGCTCGATTCTTGCAATTTGACCCATGAAAGGATAAAACGTATTCAAGGATGCTTGTTTCTACAGGGCTTTTTTTACTACTTGCATCAGGCATAGGTGATGTGAGATGAGCTCGGTTTAACGGATCCTCTGAAAACGCTTGAATGTTGGGACCTCAACGACCTTGACTTTAAAAGGACCACAAAGTAGCGTTAGACTTTATGTAACTGGCAACTTGTATCCTGGATTAAAATAAATTGGAAGGGAGAAGGAACGGTAGTAAGTCAACAACACCATCTGCATGTAGCATTGATTTTTCATTATAACTGAACACAGAAGCTACAGGAATATTACTTCGCACGAGTTACAGCAGGACTCGAAGAATTAATCAAGGTTATCCTAACTGAAATATTTACCCGTAATATTTTACTTTTTTGGAGGCTACTTAAAAACGAGGCAGCTGAACAACTATGTTAGGATATAAAGTAGCATGAATTCGACATGAAATTATATATTTCGAACGGTCACATAATAAGCAGTCAACCTCATTAGATTATAACTATTAGTCTAGCAAGGTAAATAAATTCTACAACCCAACCAGCACTCCTAGGTATGCTAGCCCTCCCTTTGAAACTCCGATGGTCGGTGGGTAAAACGTTCGAACGTTGTTTGGGACATGACTTTGGTATCATTGATCCCCTGACAATTAAACCGTACTTTGGATCTGTATTTCAGCACTGATAAATTTAACAAGATCTAACAAAATGTAGAATACGGATGTCCTTGAAAGGTGTTCGATGCGAGCGATGCCATTTTCCCATCGGGAGTGAGACCTACTACTGAACAACTAACAAAATATTTTGCAGACTTGAAATTATTTCGTAATGCCCGCCATTTCACTGTCCTAAAAGAAAGTCTTGGGAGGAATGACTGCTAGTGAGGTGAAACCATGGGATTTTCGGCTGCAGAAAACTAATGGATCAAACTAAAAGTGCGACTGCATTATCAGGCATGTGCAAGATAGTTTGTCAGCGCCAGTTATTCAGACAGTGTCATACGATAATCAGACATTTAGGGTTGTAGGCTTTTGAGTGATATATCAAGGATAGGATTCTGAGTCACTTTTGGTATGAAGCTGGCAAAACTTCCCAAAACAAACGGTAATCGTTGCCAGCATAGCTGTAGAAGGTTCAAGGTGATCGAAATTGCTGTTTCCCGTGAAGATTTAATTGCTGGGTGACCAACAAACTCATTTGAGATTAAACTGCCGGAGTACATAGCATTCTTATGTTATATAGTCTAACCTTAGTATCGATCAAGTAAATTAGTCAATCAACCATAATAACGTAAAACCTAGTATATTGGGAGTGATCTCCCGGTATAAAAAGAATGAGATCATTTTAAACTCCAATATTCAAGTTAATTTACATCATCCATAGCAGTGAAACTGATTTTATCATTATTTGCATAAACCCTCCAACCACTGACGAGTTTATTGGTGTCTATTACCTTCATACGATAAGTAACCATGCATCACCATACTCTTAAATTTATAACTGTATTCCAGTTTCATTACCGAACAGCAAAGACAAAATTCCAGAAGCTCCGATCAGTTTGTTCTCTAACGTTTCCACAATATTAAGCACGCTTCAGATCGTTGGTGTGGTGAGAGCCTCGTATTTATCTGGACTCTGGATCCTTACTTAATCAAACAATTGGAAAGGTCAGTAGTACCACGCACACCCAGGGATTGGTTGCAACACTATGTTTAATTTGGTTCCTTTAGGGTCACTACTACTGGTCACAACTGGTCTTTTATCCATCCAATTTGTTGGACAACTCAAATAAAAATAATAATAATAATCCGGAAACATCGCTGTCGAATTTACCCCAACACTGACTGAAGTTTATGCCATTATCACAGATATGAGTTAGGAGTTGTACTCTCGTTGATTACAGCTTGTGCTCTTCTCGATAACCACAAGAGCAGGACTCGCCATTTATAATCTTGTAAAGATTCATTTAACCGGACTCATCGTACAACACCATATCACCCATATTTGTGGGGAATAAGCTTGGTTGACTCGCTCATACAAACTGATTTCTATATTATCCAAAACGTGACACTTTCAACTGGTTTGTATACACCAGCAACCAGTGTGTATGAATATAAGTAGTCGATCTATTGCACATGTGAACATTGGAGTCCAGAGCACATCTCTCACGGACCTACTCATATTTAAGGGGTTACTGTTAGCTATCTGTCTGAAATTCACATAATTATTAGTACAAAGATGTCAGAAGTATTCGAAGTTTGACAACACCTTAATTAGTAACATCTTTCATAATCGAAACGTGCCAACCCAGTCAAACCAGAAGTCCGAAGCGACATCAGAAACCTCACAACCCTAACATAAATAAAAATGAATATTACGCATTAAAACAGCTGAGAGAGGACAAAACGATCATAATAACGAGAGCAGATAAAGGTAATACTACAGTTATTATGAATAAAACAGAGTATGAGAAGAAAGCCAAAGAACATCTACAAGAGGGTCCATATGAACAAATCAAAGAAGCGAAAAGTAGAACAACTCTTAATAAACTCAAGGCGGAAACTAGCAAACTCTTACAGTCATTAAAAGCTAAGCTAGGATCGTCCTTATGGTTTATGTTATATCCAAAGAGTTGTAATCCATGCAGATTTTATGGGCTACCAAAGATCCACAAGAATAATACTCCACTAAGACCAGTGGTAGACTATACAAATTCACCGACTTACAATCTAGCTAAATATTTAGCTAAGATTCTCAAACCATATGAAAAACGGATTAATCATGGAATTAAAAACTCTATGGAATTCAAGAATTTAATTGATACCATCGATATAGAAGAAGACGAAATAATGGCAAGTTTTGATGTATCTTCCTTATTCACTAATGTACCTATCAGTCGAGCAATGGATATTATCAATGATTGTTTAGAATCTGATTTAGATTTGAATTTACGATGCCCATTAGATCCATCAGAGGTTATAAAATGCTTAGAATTATGTTTAAGATCTACCTTATTCATATTTCGAGGTCAACTTTACAGACAGAAAGAGGGTATAGCAATGGGCTCACCAGTTTCTCCGATTGTAGCGAATTTATTCATGCATTCCCTAGAAACTAGTGCAATCGCAAAGAGTTTATGTCCACCAAAGTTATGGTTAAGGTATGTAGACGATATTTTTATTATCAATAAACGGGATGGTATGGAAGAACTATTTAACAATGCAAACAGCATTTCTGAAAACATTAAACTAACTAAGGAATTAGAATCAGTTGACCACAAACTAGCATTTCTAGATTGTTTGGTTGAACGTCGACACAATAATAAGAAGTTAAAAATAAATGTTTACAGAAAATCAACACATTCCGAGAGATACTTGGATTTTAATTCAGCCCATTCACAGAGCACGAAAATTAATGTAGTGAAAAATCTAATGAACAGAAGTACTAAGATTGTTACAGACAAGGAAGATCAACGAACCGAATTAAATAAAGTATTTTCTACTCTTAGGGATAACAACTACCCAAAAAGGTTTTTAAAAAGATTATTAAAAATGAAAGAAAAACTAAACTAGAAAGTATACGAAAAGAATGGAAGTACACCGTAGTCATACCTTACCGGAGTGAAACATCAGAAGAAATCAAACGGATTCTAAACAAACATGATATAAGAGTGTATTTTAGAGCAAATAACACATTAAGATCGACATTGGTGAAAGTTAAGGACAAGTTAGCAAAGGAAGAACAACAGAACATTGTGTATGAGATTCACTGTCATGACTGTAATGCTACCTATGTTGGAGAAACATCCAGGCAATTAAATGTAAGATTGAAGGAACACAAACAATGCTTGAAAAATGTTCCAAAATCCTCGGTCGATTTAAAGAAACTTGAAAATAAGTCAGCGATAGCGTTACATGCGTTAGAAACAGGACACAAGATTAATTTTGAAGGGACCAAAATACTTCAGAAAGGTTTTAACACCCATAAAGAAAGATTGACAGCAGAAGCGCTGCATATATGGGCGAACAAGAACAGCCTGAACCGAAAAGATGGTATTCAACTGGCAACTACCTGGCAAATTTCGTTTGACAAGTAAATTTGGAACCTATCTCTTGTTTAAACCTGTTTTTTAATATCACATGCATCGTTATTATTTTTGAAAGAATTCAATGAGTTTTTAAACAATACAATTTATGTTTTGACATGTACATCGATGTTTCATTATCAAAAAATTTTCAACCTTGAACTTTACTTATTTATACCTTCATATCAATCTCTTACACGTACATACATACCTGCACACTCACACACATACGATTTGTTGCTCAGTTAATTATTTCTATGTAGTTGAATTCTTCACATGATTTGTAGTTAACTGACTCATTTTATCCTGTTTTACAAAAAATCAACATCCAAATATGATTGGTTTCACACGGTATAATTCTGATTGTTAAAAGCTATACATGTCTTTGATAATTTTGATTTTGATTATTACCCTGAAGAAGTCCAGACAAGTTAGCTGGACGAAACGTTGGAATTAGTTATATTTCAATCGCTGAGAATATTTCAAATATAATTTTCACATATAATGACTTCTCTATACTCGGCGCTCAATTACTGTCAAACTATTCGTTCTAATCTTGACGAATATTCGTATATAATTCTTATGGTTTCGTACGCATAGAATACTTGTCATTGAGAAAAATTAACATAAACATTTGGAAGCAATTAATGACCTGATGATACTGTCCGGTTATTGTGACCAAGATTCATGATTCACCGACAACCTAGACACCATGTAAACGATTGCATCACATCATGTTGTTTATCAATTAACATGTGTGTGACTACACATACGTAAGGACAAGTAATTGTGACTTGTAAATCAAGGTATCTGAACGTATACCTAAATTATTACGAAAACAAATGACCCAACAAGAGTAGACGATAAACATCTATCTCGCTCCATTACTAAACACTGTTGAAACAAGTCATAAAGTCAATTTTAAGCCAGTCTTTGTGGTTCAACACAGTAGTTATCTAGGGCGTATACTGAGGT